AGAAGAGAACTAGAGTGAAGACCTTGTCTCTTAAAAAAAAAAAAAAATTAAAAGTTGACAATTGATTCCTTTCTTCCCTTTTCCCCTAACCTGCTACTATGTCAATGGCATTAGTTAGGAATGGTTTTACCTGCAAATAACAGAGCATTTGAACATCAGAGGCTTTAGTAATTTTGATTGTTTCTTTCTTTTTTTTTTTGAGACGGCGTCTCGCTCTGTTGCCAGGCTGGAGTGCAGTGGCTTGAACGCGGCTCACTGTGGCCTCCACCTGTTGGGTTCAAACGATTCCCCTGCCTCAGCCTCCTGTGTATATAGAAGGCGGGAATTATAGGTGCAAGCCACCACACCCAGCTTTTATATTTTTAGTAGAAATGGGGTTTCACCATGTTGTCCAGGAGGGTCTTGATCTCTTGACCTTGTGATCCGCCCACCTCGGCCTCCCAAAGTGCTGGTGTTACAGGTGTGAGCCCCCACGCTCAACCCGTTTCTCTTACATAGCAAGAGGACAGGCTGGTGCTGGTTCAGCAATGTCAGAGCAGATAACTGTTGGCCTTTTGCTCGTGTCTGTGGGATAGCTTTTGCGGCTCCAGCCATCGGGCCAGTGCTTAAGTCAAGAGCAGGGAAGGACAAAGCAAAGCTTTCCCAGAACCTCTCAGCAGATTCCTGCATTTTTCTCTTTGGCCATGATTGTGTGGTAGGGCATAATTGAAGAGGAAATTGCTTCTTATCCAAGTCCCTTGCCTCATGATAATGGGATCTGCGTATTTGTCTAGATTTGATTATGCAGTAAAGGAACTCCCTCTTACAAAGCAGTTCAGGGCTATAGTGGTTTAAAAATATTATTGGCCAGGCATGGTGGCTTATGCCTGGAAGACTGAAGTGAGAGGCTCACTTGAGGCCCAGAGTTGGAAACCTGCCTGGGCACATAGAGAGAGACCTCATCTCTACTTAAAAAAAAAAAAAAAAGGCCAGGCGCGGTGGCAAGCACCTGTAATCCCAGCTACAGGAACTACATTCTGGGGACGGTGAGGAGGGAGTGTTGCAGGACTCTTGGGGTGTTGCTTTTCTGGCCAGAAAACTCTGTGGCTGGTGGCACCTTTCCCCAAGTTTTGCTTAGGCCCTCTAGGCTCATTTTGCCCACTCAGCCTGGCAGATTGCACTCAGCTCATGCTACCAACCTGTATCCCATGTCTGCCAAGGGCAGGCCAGGCATGGAGCAGCGAGGAGGCGTGTGAGCAAGCGAGTGTGGGGTCTGGCCACTGCGCACAGTTGGGCATGCTGGCTGCTGCAGTGGGGTGGGCAGTTCCAGGTGCTAGCACCAGTGCCAGCTCTCCATGAGGCTGCGGCTGGACCAGGCACACCACAAGCATCTTCCACAGCTGCCACCAGGAAATGCAGTGGCACCTGAAAACTTGGTGACTCCAGGAACTGCCAGGCCCCAAAGAGGGAGTCACAGCCCTGGCTTGGGGAGCTCCCAGGTCTGGAATCCCTGAAGGGCCACAGCTCTTCTCTTCACCCACAATGTGGTTAGTAAGGGGCATGTTTCAGCCCTGTTGATGTCACAGCTGTTTCAGCCCTGCCACTCGGCAGGTCCCAAGTTCTTGTCCTGCATCCAGGAAGAATGAGGCACGTGGACAAGTGCAGCATGAGCAATGTGAAGAGGAGCTTTATTGAGTGACAGAATAGCTCAGATGAGGCCCTGGAGTGGGTAGCTCCACTCTGTAGCTGGTTATCTCTGTGTCCACTCTGCTCTAGCTGAGCCCAGGGATTTTATGGGCCTCAGAGGGGAGGAAGTGTGCATTGACTGGCCCATGGGCGGCCATGGGCAGGCCCAGAAAAGGCACCACAAGTTCCCACCCTGGTCAGTGGAAATGGCAGCCTGGCCCCCAACCTTCAGGCCCTCCCTGGTCTGAAGGTGGAGCTTCACCAGGGACCTGTCCCCTTCCACCCAGGAACCTGTCTGCCTCCACTGCCATTCATGGTGCCCAGGCTATAGGTGCCAAGAGGCACCTGCAGGCCAGCACCAAGCTGCCCTCAGCCTCCCATTGGCTTACGCTTATCAGCACCCAAAGTCTGAAGGCTGCTGAGGCAGCAGGGAACTGGTGTGTTAGCACTGCCTCAAGCATGTGCACCCGAACCAGGATGTGACGGCACCCAGGCTTGGCCCTGACTTTGCCTGGAGATTGGAACAGGTGCCAATAGCAGGGAGAAGCCAGGCCGTGTGAGCAGGCACTTCCAATCCTGTGAGGGCTGGAAGGGCCTTCCCAGGCCCCCAAGAATGCAGGGATGTCTCGGTCCACAGCTACAGTTTGGGCAGCTGCAGCTGTGCCCAAGATGGGGAGGGGGACAAGGTTCCTGCCTGCTCTGTGGAGTGTGAGGCCACAATGTGGGCAGCTGCAGCTGCACCTGGGGAGCTCCTGCCCCAAAACTCGAAAGGGGCGGAGCTCTCACTTGTCTCTGGCTCCCACAGGCTCTGTGTAGTGTGTAGCCCTGGCCGTGCTTCCCTGCTGCAGCCAGTGTGATGGCAGTGGCCACTCCAGAAGGGCTACTGCTGCCATCAGGAGAATCACGAGTCCAGGAGTTCAAGCTTGCCGTGAGCTATCATTATGCCACTGCACTTCAGCCTGGGTGACACAGCAAGAAATAATAATAAATAAATAAATATATATATTATCTGTAAAGTGTTTGACATGCCTTTCTTCAAAAAATGCTTCCTTCCCTTGACTGCAGCCATGATGAAGAAGGAAACAAAATGATAGTAATTTCTCTCCTCTTTTGGGTGGGCCAGATTTAATGACTTGCTTTTAATTGAATCAAATATGGCGGAAGTGTGAGACTTTCAAGATGAGGTCATAAAAAACATTGAAGCTTTTATTTTGTTTGATCTTGCATCACTTGCTCTGGGGAAAACCAGCTGCCATGTCATGAGAACACTCAAGCAGCTCTGTGGCGAGACCCAAGTGGCAAGGAACTGAGGCCTCCTGCCAACAGCCAGTGCTGACTTTCCAGCCCCAGCCAGACATCCAGATCCTGCAGCCCCAGCAGACATCTTCACTATAACCTAAAGAGAGCGCTGCCAGAACTACCCAGCTAAGCTACTCCAGAATTCCCTACCCACAGAAGCTATGTGAGATAATTTATTATGCGAAATAACAAACGTTTATTGTCAGCTGGGCATGGTGGCACATGCCTGTAATCCCAGCACTTTGGGAGGTCAAGGAGGGCAGATCACCTGAGGTTGGGAGTTTGAGACCAGCCTGACCAACATGGAGAAACCCCGTCTCTACTAAAAAATACAAAATTAGCCGGATGTGGTGGCACATGCCTGTAATCCCAGCTACTCAGGAGGCTGAGGCAGGAGAGTCATTTGAACCTGGGAAGCGGAAGTTGTGGTGAGCCGAGATCATGACATTGCACTCCAGCCTGGGCAACAAGAGTGAAACTCCATCTCAAAAAAAAATGTTTATTGTAATTTGAAGTCACTAAATTTTGAGGTCATTTGTTACACAGCAGTACATAATATATTAGGGCTCCTCAGGTCTTTAGAGAAGCCTGGATCCAAGGTGACATGCTCATCTGCATCCACTTGGATGAGTACCTCTTTGTTCTCCCCTATAGAGTTTTCCTACTGGAATAATGGTTCCACTCCCTCTGCTCCCAGGGACATGGCTTCCATTGGGCTGGGTGCCTCAGCTGACAGGTCTTGTATACCTAAATTTAGTATATGAAATGTAGTGTCCACTAAAAATACAAAAATTAGAAGGCGTGGTGGCATATGCACGATCTGATAGTACTTGTATTCCTGTAAAGGAGGACAGAGCCGCTGGCTCCACTCAGAAGGAGCAGGAGCCTGATGGCCGCCATGCCACCTTCCTTCTCAGACAACACAGGCCGGTTCCAGGGCATTGCTTGTCTACCCAAGGGGCAAGATGATCACCAGCTAGTCTAGGCTGTCTGGGGACTCTTTGGTTCTTCTTTAATATTAATAGAGACAGGGTCTCCCTGTGTTGCCCAGGCTGGTCTCAAACTCCTGGGCTCAAGCAGTCCTCCCACCTCGGCCTCCCAAAGTGCTGGAATTACAGGTGCGAGCCACTATGCCTGGCCTCTGGCTCTTTTCTGACTCCTGAAATGGGGTTCTCTCCAAACCTTTACGTGGTGCGTACATTAATAACCGTGGGTTCTCTTTGTGGATTTAGGAATTGTTCTTTTTTTTCCTGAGACGGAGTCTGGCTGTCACCCAGGCTAGAGTGCAGTGGCACGATCTCGGCTCACTGCAACCACCAACTCCCGGGTTCAAGCGATTCTTCTGCCTCAGCCTCCCAAGTAGCTGGGATTACAGGTGCCTGCCACCATGCCCAGCTAATTTTTTTGTATTTTTAGTAGAGACTGGATTTCACTATATTGGCCAGGCTGGTCTTGAACTCCTGACCTTGTGATCCACCCATCTCAGCCTCCCAAAGTGCTGGGATTACAGGCCTGAGCAAATTGTTCATTTTTACCACAAAAAAAATAGCAGTAAGAGAGAGAGATGTTTACCCTTTCCTAAAGTGTCAGCAGCAATGTTAAGACCTCAAATAACACCTTCCCTGAGCTCTGGAGACTGGAAAGTGCTGCAGAGACTAGCCCCATCCTCTAAAACCCAGTTTCTCCCCACGTGTGCCGGCCACCATTCTTTTTTTTTTTTCAGCTGGAGCCTCGCTCTGTCACCCAGGCTGAAGTACAGTGGCGAGATCTAGGCTCACTGCAACTCTACCTACTGGGTTCAAGCGATTCTCCTGCCTCAGCCTCCTGAGTAACTGGAATTACAGGTGTGCACCACCACGCCCAGCTAATTTTTGTATTTTTAGTAGAGATGGGGTTTCACCATGTTGGTGAGGCTGGTCTCGAACTCCTGACCTCGTGATCTGCCTGCCTCAACCTCCCAAAGTGCTGGGATTACAGGCCTGAGCCACTGCACTGGCCTCTTTTCTTTTAAAAAATAAATAAATAAAAAATCTTAAAGCTTTATGGGACACTTTATAAATTTTAGTGTCATCCTTGAGCAGAGGGCATGCTAATCTTCTTTGTATTGTTCCAATTTCAGTATATGTGCTGCTGAAGCAAGCAGAAAAGGCCACCATTCTTTTTCTTTTCTTTTTTTTTTTTTTCTTTGAGACAAGAGCCTTGCTCTGTCCCCCAGGCTGGAGTGCAGTGGTGGGATCTCGACACACAGCAACCTCCGCCTCCTGGGTTCAAGCGATTCTCCTGCCTCACCTTTCTGAGTAGCTGAAATTACAGGTGTGTGCCACCACACCCTGCTAATTTTTGTATTTTTAGTAGACATGGGGTTTCACCATGTTGGCCAGGCTGGTCTCCAACTCCTGACCTCAAGTGATCCACCCTCGTCAGCCTCCCAGTGTTGGGATTACAAGCATGAGCTACCACGCTCGGCCAGCCGTCACCATGTTTATAGCAGATTAAGAGATGTACCAGTTTGGGAGGACTTTGAGGGGCCCTCCCATCCCTCCCAAAGTGCTGGGGTTACAGGTGTGAGCCACCGTTCCCTGCCCTCAGCTCTCATTCTAGCCTAGGGTTTGTATTCAGTCTTCAAGTAGATATGGGATACCTGGAATTCTAAGACATCCTGGATGAGCTACCCTTGAGCCAGAAATAGCTGTACAGTAGCTTTTCTATTGTATAATTGAACGTTATTTCTGTTGTAGCCTCCTTCATCTGCAGTAGTGAAATCCAGTTTCAGTGAAGCTGGTTTCCTCGGCACTAAGTGATGCCTGCATTCTCCAGCACACGCCGCCCTGCCTCAGGAGGCACGTGACCTTTGTCATCTACCCAACCCATGACCCTTGACTCGGCCTTGCAGCCTCTCTGCTGCTTCGTCCTCTCCCAGACAGGGTGAGGTTCTCCCTTGTTCTCACCTGTCAGGTTCCTTCATGTTTGAAGGTCCTCTGACCTCCCGGTCTGTGTCAGCCTTGAGCATGTAGGAAATGCTGAGGCAAGAAAAACAGACTGACTAGGGCTGTCGCTGTGCCCATGTTGGTGTGGAGCACGCAGGGGTCTGGGCACAAACTTGTTCTCTAGGAGCACACGCTGCATCTGAACTTGTAGTGTTTTTTTTTTTTTTTTGAGATGGAGTTTCACTCTTGTCGCCCAGGCTGGAGAGCAGAGGGGCAATCTTGGCGCTCTACAACCCCCCCTCCCGGGTTCAAGTGCTCCTTTTGCCTCAGCCTACCGAGTAGCTGGGATTACAGGTGCCCACCACCACACCCAGCTAATTTTTTTATTTTTAATAGAGATGGGGTTTCACTATATTGGTCAGGCTGGTCTTGAACGCCTGACCTCAGGTGATCCACTCACCTCAACCTCCCAAAGTCCTGGGATCACAGGTGCCCGCCACCACACCCAGCTAATTTTTGTATTTTTTTCATTTATTTATTTTTTCCTTTACTGTCATCTCTATAAATGCCCATAATTTTTGTATTTTTATTTATTTATTTTTTTAAAGTCATGTTTATTGAAGGATGATTTTACATTCAGTAAAATTCATCCTTTTAAGATTTGACAAATGCATAATCATACCATAATTAAGATGCAGAACAATTGTACAATCACTCTAATGATTCCCTCCTGTCCATTTGCAATCAACCCCTTTTTGATGCCAAGGAACTCACTGACCTGTTTTTCTGTCAAAAGTGTCAAATTTAATCACTAAAATGATCTACAGTACTATGGAAAAATGTATAAGCACATAAAATACACAAACCCAATTTTTTAAAAAAGTGAGATACTTTAAAAAGTTTCTTTCTTTCTTTCTTTTTTTTTAGAAGATGGGGTTTCACCATGATGGCCAGGCTGGTCTTGAACTCCTGACCTCAGGTGATCCACCCACCTCAGCCTCCCAAAGTGCTAGGATTACAGCTGTGAGCCACCACGCCCGGCCTTAAAAAGTTTCTTTAGCATACCAACAAAAAATGAAGGTAGCATTGCATTTTACTATAGATGTGCAAATATTCATCAAAGTCCACCATTGTCATATATATGGCTCAACAGTAATGTTTAAGAATATACTGGGTAAGGCCGGGCGTGGTGGCTCAAGCCTGTAATCCCAGCACTTTGGGAGGCCGAGGCGGGTGGATCACAAGGTCAAGAGATCGAGACCATCCTGGTCAACATGGTGAAACCCCGTCTCCACTAAAAATACAAAAAATTAGCTGGGCATGGTGGCACGTGCCTGTAATCCCAGCTACTCAGGAGGCTGAGGCAGGAGAATTGCCTGAACCCAGGAGGCGGAGGTTGCGGTGAGCCGAGATCGCGCCATTGCACTCCAGCCTGGGTAACAAGAGTGAAACTCCGTCTCAAAAAAAAAAAAAAAAAAAAAAGAATATACTGGGTAGGCATGGTGGCTCGTGCCTGTAATTCCAGCACTTTGGGAGGCCGAGGTGGGCAGATCACCTGAGGTTAGGAGTTTGAGACCAGCCTGGCCAGCATAGTAAAACCCCATCTCTACAAACATTAGCCTGTAATCCCAGCTACTTGGGAGGCTGAGGCAGGAGAATCACTTGAACCTGGAAGGCAAAGGTTGCAGTGAGTTGAGATTGTGCCACTGCACACCAGCCTGGGCGCTAGCAAGACTCGAACAAAACAAGAATGTGTAAAAATACAAAATTAGCTGGGTGTGGTGGTGCGTGCCTGTAATCCCAGCTACTCGGGAACCTGAGGCAGGAGAATGATATCAAGAGGCAGGGGGTGCAGTGAGCTGAGATTGCTGCACTGTACTTCAGCCTGGGAGACAAGAGTGGAGCCTTAAAAAAAAAAAGAAAAAAAGACTATACTGTAAAATAACAATCATAACCATCTTTAGAGTTAAGTCATATATATATATATATATATAATTTTTTTTTTTTTTTAAAGACGGCGTTTCACCATATTGGTCAGGCTGGTCTTGAACACCCGACCTCAGGTGATCCACCCGCCTTGGCCTCCAAAGTGCTTGGATTACAGGTGTGAGCCACCACGCCCGGCCTAAGTCATATCTTTGTTGAGTATATGAACTACGATTAAGATATTGCTCTTTGGGGGCCGGGCGCGGTGGCTCACGCCTGTAATCCCAGCACTTTGGGAGGCCGAGGCGGGTGGATCACGAGGTCAAGAGATTGAGACCATCCTGGTCAACATGGTGAAACCCCGTCTCTACTAAAAATACAAAAAATTAGCTGGGCATGGTGGCGCGTGCGTGTAATCCCAACTACTCAGGAGGCTGAGGCAGGAGAATTGCCTGAACCCAGGAGGCGGAGGTTGCGGTGAGCCGAGATCGCGCCATTGCACTCCAGCCTGGGTAACATGAGTGAAACTCCGTCTCAAAAAAAAAAAAAAAAAAAAAAAATAATGAAACTGAATTCCATAAAAATTTCCTACAGGATCAACTCAACTATAAGGCAGAGACACAAAAGAGTCAGGCAATATTCTTATAGATGGTTGGGGCCCTCTCAAAATTCACCCTTGCTACCACTATGAAAAGAACAACCCAAAAAAGCAACCTCTATTCTGTAGATGCTAAAGGTAACATATCCAAATACATCTCATCTACTTGAAAAGCTTCACTGATTCTTTCAAGGGCCAGACCTTAAGTTCATCAGCATCTTGAAACTCTGCTACGCCCAGTCACGCGCCGTGGCCGAAAAGCAATTTTTGTGTTTTTAAGAGATGGGGTTTCACCATATTGGTCAGACTGGTCTTGAACTCCTCACCTCAGGTGATCCACCCACCTCAACCTCCCAAAGTGCTGGGATTACAGGCGTGAGCCACCTTGCCCAGCCATGAACTTGTAATGCTGCTTCTTCACTGCCTCTTCCAGCCCAGGAAGGCTTTATTTGCTTTGAGTTCAGGGAATCCTGTCTCACTCAACATCAGATATTCTTACAAATCTATTTTCTTGTGTTGAGTTCGTTCTGTTCCTTTCTGAAAGGTAGATTTTTGAAACTCAAAGCCTGAAATGAACTTCTTTTTCTTCTAGATAAATCCTTTCCTGAAGGAAGAAATGGAGAATGCCCAGATGACTGAACAGGGAAAGGACCACATAATCCAAGGATAGGGTAAGATAATGGTTAAGAGTTTTAAAAACTTACCCTATCACACATAGGCGATGTCACGAAGTCCTTTCAACAATTTTGTGAGAAATACCTTCTATTTTATTGTTTGGGACACATTCAGAGAAGTTAGGCTACACAGCTAGAAGTGGAATCTGGCTGGGCACAGTGGTCCAGCTATTAGGGAGGCTGAGGCAGAACTCCTTGAAACAGAGGTTGCAGTGAGCCGAGACTGGGCCACTACACTCCAGCCTGGGTGATGGAGCGAGATTCCATCTCAAAAAACAAACAAAACAAAACCAAAAATAGAAGCAGACTTGGAATCCATGTCTATCTGATTCTAGAATCCTGTCCTTGCCAGCTCACATACCATACCTACAGGCAGGTAAAAGAGTAACCCGAGAGGCCAAGGCGGGAGGATCACCTGAGGCCGGGAGTTCAAGACCAGCCTGACCAACATGGTGAAAACCCATCTTTATTAAAAAAAAAAAAATTAAAAAAAGAAAAGTGTAACCTGAGTGTTCCCGTTCTTATCAGCCTAGGGGTACAAATAAGGTCACATTAGCACATACCCACAATTTTGCTGCAGGTCACCCCTCATTTGCTCACACAGAACCTCAGCTTCCTTCAGAATGCGCCCTGACAAAATCCTTTAGCTATCCAAGAACAAGCCTCCTGTACTGAGTGCAGCCACTGTCTTCTGTCCTCCTTGGCAAGAACCGACAAACATGTATTCTTGCTGCTTGCTGTGCCATGGTCATAAAGTCCTTTTTCTCTCACCTGGAATTTGATGTCTTCTGCCAACATTCAGAAGCAGTAATAGGCTAACTTATTAGCTTGTAAGTAGGGTAAAATCAAATCCTATACCTGACACAGGGCACAGGCCTGAGGTCAGGTGCTATGTGGTGGCAACCACAAGAAGCTGTTCAGAGTCCAGGCAGAACTGGGTGCCACAGGCCAGCCCCAGTGGCTCCTGCCTGTTATCCCAGCACTTTGGGAGGCTGAGGGAGGAGGACTGCTTGA